GGTGCCGAATCCGCCAGCGGCGTGTTGGATACCCGCCTTGGGCGCCGACACGGGCGGAAACACGCGCCAGGTGCAGGCGCACCAGACGCCTGCGCCGAAAGCACGCGCGCCTGACCCACGCTCGATACTCCCTGCGCGCACGCGTCTCTTTGCGGGCATCGCGAAGATCCGAAAAACGTAACCGCCGTTCCCTCGGGCACCATGTCCAGGGTGCGCAGCGCGCGCTCGTAGCTTTGCCTTGCCGCGCTGTCGCACAAAAAGATGGGGGCGGAGCAGGCAGGGACAGGACTGATGCCTGTAAACCTGCGAGCGCTACACAGAGGTTCCCATGATCTGCCTCCTTGCTACATCGCCTGGCCGCCCGGCGCGGACCACTCCCGAAGCTCACTCTACTCTGGCTCCTCGCCCTTGCAGCCCTTGTGGAAGTTGGTGCAGCAGTACTTGATCTTCTGGGGGGACCACGACAGCTCCAGGCAGTGCATGCAGTGGTGGTACCCGGCGTCGCAGTCGTACTTGTTGGTGTCCGGGGCGGGAGGCTCGCCCGAGGGCGGCAGGCCCGAGGGGGGCGGCAGCTCCGAGGGGCACCCCCTCTGGGCGGTCTTGCAGCAGTACAGCTTCTTCTCGCCGGACCAGCCGCGCACCCACTGCAGCGGGTCGAGGTCGTTGTATCCTGCGTTGCAGTCGATGGGGCAGGGCGACGTGGACGTGGTCGGGCACCCCTTGTTCTCCATGAGGCAGCACTGCACCTTCTTCGCCTGGTCCCACGACTCCGGGACTCCGCACCTTCGCCGCAGTTGATCTTTTTCTCGGTGGTCGTGGGCGGCGGCGGAGGGGGCGGGGGCGGAGGCGGCGGCGGGGGTGGCGGGGGCGGCGGAGGCGGCGGCGGAGGCGGCGGCGCCCGCGTCGTCGTCTTCTTGGTCGTGGTGAACGTTATCTCGGGTGGCGCCGTGGTTGTCGGAATGAACGGCGTGGTGGTCGTCGTCGTGGTCGTGGTGCTCCCCGGGGCGAGCGAGTAGAGGAGCAGCGGGAGCAGCAGCAGGGACAGCAGCCCCGGGATGAGGAGGAACAGGCAGCAGTTAGGGCCGCGGCCAGGAATGCGGAGCACCCCGAACTCGCCCGCGCCCGCGCCCACATACCTGTACGTCGTCTCCTGCACATAGTCGCCCCCCGGGCCCACGTAGCTCAGGATCGTGCTGCCTCCCGCGCCCGTGCCGCAGCCGCTGCCGCCGCCCACGCCGCTGCCGCCGCAGCCGGTCGCCTCGGCGCACCCCGCGCCGCAGGCGGGACCGCAGCCCATGGCGGCGGTCGCCCCGGCGCAGCAGGCGGTTCCGCAGTCCGCCCCGCCGCCGTACGCGCCAGCGCCGTGCAGGCCGCCGGCATAGCCTGCCCCATACCCGGCGCCGTAGCCCATCCCCGAGCTGCCCAAGGCGCCCCCCGAGCGGTAGTACGCCATGTTGAGGCAGCCTGAAGGGAGGCCAGACGACTAGAAAGGAAAAAAGAGCCTGGGAGGCTTGAGCCAAAACGGCTACGGAACGCAGTGAGGCAGGCATCCTACGAGCGAAGGAGTGTAGAGGAATCCCCGCGCACCCATGTGGGGTACCCCCCTGGCGCCTACACCCTACACACGTGAACGCACATGCCAGATGTACGCGTGCCAGGCGCATGTTCGATACCTCTCCCCATGTTGGATACCCCCCTTGGCGTCGAGGAACCGTGGCACTGGGAGCACAGACGCAGCTTACTTTTACGATGGTCGTGGCCCTCGGAGCGCGGACGCAGCGTAACTCACAAGGGGCTGTGGCCCTCGGAGTGCGGACGCAGCGTTACTTACTCTGGATCGGTAGCCCTAGGAGCGCGAAGCCAGGGTAATCCAAAGAGCCCTCTGGGCTCAGGGGGTCTAACGATATCTTGATTTACTTTTTCTACAACCCCTCTTCCCTTCGGGGAGGGGTACCCTCCCCCTCCCCTCCCAGGGGTCTGGACGGGGGGGTCCCGAGTCATCAGACCCTTTTTCGCTCCAAGATGGCTCCAAGAGGGCATCTGATGCTCCAAGATGGACTCCAAGAGGGCTCCAGATAGCGCAAGATCGCTCAAGATGACCTCCGCCATGCCTCCAAGACGCCGCAAGAGGGCCACGAGACGGTTCCAGGTGCCCTCAAAGACCCCTGAGGACCTCCCAGAGAAGCCAACATACTTTCAAGCCTAAGGGGGATCAATGATTGGCGCATTCTCGCCTTTTCGCTTCCGATGAGTTTTTGAGTTGTCAAGGTGGCCCCACGATGGCCCAAAAGAGCTCCAAGAGGCGCCCAAGATGCCCCCAAGACTGCCCCAAGACCGCCCAAGAGCGCCCAAAGAGAGGGTCAAGAGCGTCCCAAGATGCGATTTTGATGGCCCAGAAGGGAAGACTAAACGCTAGTACCCCCCTCTTTTCACCGACACCCTCCACGACAGCCCCAAGAGGCCCTCCAGGGCTCCCGAGAGGCCCCCACGAGAGCCCCAAGAAAGCTCCAAGAGGGACCCAAGAGGGCCCCAAAAGCGCCCCGAGACCCCCCAAAAGAGCTCTATGAGAAGTCCAAGACCCCTCAAAGAGCCCTAACAGGGCACCGAGCCCAAAGATGGCGCAAAAGATCGTGCCCCGCATCCTCATCGGCTTTCTCCTAGTCCTAATACAGATCCACATAAGATGGCTCCAATGGGTCCTCGTCACCGTTGCCCTCCTCCTCCTCCTCCTCCTCCTCCTCCTCCTCCTCCTCCTCCTCCTCCTCCTCCTCCCCCACCTCCTCCTCCCCCACCTCCTCCTCGTCCTCGTCCTCGTCCTTGCCCACATCGTCTTCCTGTTCCTGTTTCTCCTCTTCCTGATCGTCGTGGTCGTCGTGGTCGTCGTGGTCGTGGTCGTCGTGGTCGTCGTGGTCGTCGTGGTCGTCGTCGTCGTCGTCGTCGTCGTCGTCGTCGTCGTCGTCTTCCTCTTCCTCCTCCACTCGCCCCGACGCTGCCCCGAGGGATGGCCGAAAGAGGCTTTCCAAGGCCACCCCCTAGCTCCCAGAGACATCTCTGTTGATCCTGGTTGCTTGCTTTGTTTCACTACATGTGTCTCTTCGTCCCTTTTCCCGTCAGCTCGCAGGGTCAGGGTCTCTGAATGGGCTGGTTGGGATACTTTTTTTTTACAGCCGCAGGCGGAAGCGCCAGCGGCGGGAGGTCGCGGGCGGGCTACGGCCGCGACTAAATTGCCTAACGCGCGCGGGGCCGCGGATCAGGCGGCGGGGGGCGGCAGCGCCCAGGGCGGCAGAGCCGACGTGCAATCCAGGGAGTCTGAGACAGCCCCTGGACGGGCATGCAACGGTGCATCCAACGAGCCTGAGGACAGGCACCGAGGAGACCAAGCGCAGCCAAAATGGCGCGTGAGGCGTTCCCCAAGTCCAGGTGCGAACAGAAAGGAACGTTCCCGAGGACATCGATCCAGGAAGCCTGACAGGTAGTACAGACTGACTGGGGACATAAGTCCAGCGGAAAATCCCGACGGCGGCACCAAGTCGCGACGCCAGAACGCGCATCCAGGGTGTGGAGCATGCTGACAAAAGAACCTTCAACAACTGAGATGCGTCAGCCCAGATCCAACGAGTGGAAGGGCGCCGTAGTGCACGATACACGGTCGACAACGCGGCGTGTGCACATCCAAAGTGTCTCAGTGCTACCCAAAACGAGTCGGATAGCACCCGAGGGACGAGACATCGTATACCCAAGACGCATCCCTCAGAGCCACTTCGATCCAGGGTCACGGCGGAAGGGCTGGTTGGGATACGCGAGACGTGGGGAATTTACTATGGGCCAGGCCCGCGCGCCGGAGGAGGACCGTGCGCGGGAGGAGGGCCCAGGCAGCATGGGATGGGAAGCGACGAGCGCGCCGACGGTCGGGTCGTGGCAACCCGGACGAGAACCAGATGCCGAGCCGAAGAGGGCCAATCGAAGACCACAAACGAAAACACGTGCCACATGCACGCGTGCCGGACGCATGTCCTACCCCCCCAAACCCCTCGGCGGCCGCTTGTGGAAATCCGTGCCAGGCGCACTTCTGTGGCCCCCCTTCAGCCCTCACGGTTTCTGAGTCCTCCAAGAGCCGCTTGGGGCCTCTGAAGGCTCCTGGGGCCTCTCGAGCCTCCCAGGGCTTCCTGGGGCTTCGCCAGGTCTCCTGGGACCGCGGTGGGCTCCTCCTCCTCCTCCTCCTCCTCCTCCTCCTCCTCCTCCTCCTCCTCTTGATCCTCCTCCTCCCAACTCCTCCCAACTGCTCCAATCGTGGTTCCTCCGTGTCGTGCTCCTCCTGTCCCTGAATCCCTTTTGCTCTGTGGCGTCTGCGGCCAGAGCTCTCTCGTAGGACAGAAACAACCAGTGATCGGCGTCCACTGGCCGCCCGAGACGCGAGAGCCCTGGCCTCTCGCGTGCCATCTGCATGTTGGGTACCACGAGCGTGCGAGCAAGTTACGCGTCAAGGCGCATGCCGTACGCCTGTGCGATCATCTCTCTCCTTGGCGCCTGCGCATGTGAACACAGGTGTCAAAAGGCACGCGTGCCAGACTCATGTCGGGAGACCACCCTGGGGCACGTGCTTCTGAAGCAGGTGCCGAATCCGCCAGCCGCGTGTTGGATACCCGCCTTGGGCGCCGACACGGGCGGAAACACGCGCCAGGTGCAGGCGCACCAGACGCCTGCGCCGAAAGCACGCGCGCCTGACCCACGCTCGATACTCCCTGCGCGCACGCGTCTCTTTGCGGGCATCGCGAAGATCCGAAAAACGTAACCGCCGTTCCCTCGGGCACCATGTCCAGGGTGCGCAGCGCGCGCTCGTAGCTTTGCCTTGCCGCGCTGTCACACAAAAAGATGGGGGCGGAACAAGCAGGAACAAGACTGATGCCTGTAAACCTGCGAGCGCTACACAGAGGTTCCCATGATCTGCCTCCTTGCTACATCGCCTGGCCGCCCGGCGCGGACCACTCCCGAAGCTCACTCTACTCTGGCTCCTCGCCCTTGCAGCCCTTGTGGAAGTTGGTGCAGCAATACTTGATCTTCTGGGGGGACCACGACAGCTCCAGGCAGTGCATGCAGTGGTGGTACCCGGCGTCGCAGTCGTACTTGTTGGTGTCCGGGGCGGGAGGCTCGCCCGAGGGCGGCAGGCCCGAGGGGGGCGGCAGCTCCGAGGGGCACCCCCTCTGGGCGGTCTTGCAGCAGTACAGCTTCTTCTCGCCGGACCAGCCGCGCACCCACTGCAGCGGGTCGAGGTCGTTGTATCCTGCGTTGCAGTCGATGGGGCAGGGCGACGTGGACGTGGTCGGGCACCCCTTGTTCTCCATGAGGCAGCACTGCACCTTCTTCGCCTGGTCCCACGACTCCGGGGCACCTTCGCCGCAATTGATCTTTTTCTCGGTGGTCGTGGGCGGCGGCGGAGGGGGCGGGGGCGGAGGCGGCGGCGGGGGTGGCGGGGGCGGCGGAGGCGGCGGCGGAGGCGGCGGCGCCCGCGTCGTCGTCTTCTTGGTCGTGGTGAACGTTATCTCGGGTGGCGCCGTAGGTTGTCGGAATGAACGGCGTGGTGGTCGTCGTCGTGGTCGTGGTGCTCCCCGGGGCGAGCGAGTAGAGGAGCAGCGGGAGCAGCAGCAGGGACAGCAGCCCCGGGATGAGGAGGAACAGGCAGCAGTTGGGGCCGCGGCCAGGAATGCGGAGCACCCCGAACTCGCCCGCGCCCGCGCCCACATACCTGTACGTCGTCTCCTGCACATAGTCGCCCCCCGGGCCCACGTAGCTCAGGATCGTGCTGCCTCCCGCGCCCGTGCCGCAGCCGCTGCCGCCGCCCACGCCGCTGCCGCAGCCCGTCGCCTCGGCGCAACCCGCGCCGCAGGCGGGACCGCAGCCCATGGCGGCGGTCGCCCCGGCGCAGCAGGCGGTTCCGCAGTCCGCCCCGCCGCCGTACGCGCCAGCGCCGTGCAGGCCGCCGGCATAGCCCGCCCCATACCCGGCGCCGTAGCCCATCCCCGAGCTGCCCAAGGCGCCCCCCGAGCGGTAGTACGCCATGTTGAGGCAGCCTGAGAAACAGGCCGGACGACTAGAAAGGAAAAAAGAGGCTGGGAGGCTTGAGCCAAAACGGCTCCGGAACGCAGTGAGGCAGGCATCCTACGAGCGAAGGAGTGTAGAGGAATCCCACGCAACGCGGACGCAACGTAACTCACAAGGGGCTGTGGCCCTCGAAATGCGGACGCACCGTTACTTACTATGGATCGGTGGCGCGAGGAGCGCGAAGCCAGGGTAATCCAACCAGCCCCCTGGGCGTAGGGGGTCTAACGATATCTTGATTTCCTGTTCTAAAACCCTCTTCCCTTCGGGGAGGGGTACCCTCCCCCTCCCCTCCCAGGGGTTGGACGGGGGGGGCCCAAGTCATCAGAGGACCCTTCTGCGCTTAAAAATGGTTCCAAGAGAGCATTAGATGCTCCAAGATGGCCTCCAACAGGGCTCCAGATAGCGCAAGACCGATCAAGATTACCTCCACCGTGCCTCCAAGACGCCGCAAGAGGGCCACAAGACGGTTCCAGGTGTCCCAAGAGCCCCGAAAGAGGGGGTCAAGAGCGTCCCAAGATGCTATTTTGATGGCCCAGAAAGGGGGGACTAAACGTTAGTACCCCCCTCCTTCCACGGACACCCGCCACGACAGCCCTAAGAGGCCCTCCAGGGCTCCCGAGAGGCCTCCACGAGAGCCCCAAGGGAGCTCCCAGCCTGATCGTCGTGGTTGTCGTGGTTGTCGTGGTCGTGGTCGCGGTCGTCGTCGTCGTCGTCGTCGTCGTCGTCGTCGTCGTCCTCCTCCTCCTCCTCCCCCTCCTCCTCCTCCTGCTCCTCCTCGTCCTCCCCTCGCCCCCTTGCGGCCCCCAGGGATGGCCCAAAGAGGCTTTCCAAGGCCACCCCCTAGCTCCCTGTTTATCCTGGTTGCTCGCTTTGTTTGACTAGATGTGTATATTCGTCCCTTTTCTCGTCAGCTCGCAAGGTCAGGGTCTCTGAATGGGCTGGTTGGCATACTTTTTTTTGCTTAGCGGCCCGCAAGGAAAAGTCCAGAGAGTGTAAGAACCGAGGCTGGGGCACAGCGCAAGATAATTAGCGCGAGAACGCGCGAAGTGCACATGCAACGAGGAGACGCCCTGTCGGCGCCAGCTCGGGAAGAATGCCGGACCAGCCGAAGGCGGCGGGAGCGGCGGACGGAAGCGCGAGCAAACGAGGAGCCGCCCAAACGGCGCCCGCAAGCAGCGACCACTTGCCAGCCACAGCACGCACGGGGCCTGTAACAGGCCTGTACCCATGCAGCCGCGACGGCCAATTCAGCTGTAGGCAGCAGGGGAACTACCTACAGGCAGAGCGAAAGGAGCGAGAGCAGGCAGAGGGAACCCTCACTCACGGAGCGCCCGGTGCTTACCGATTACCACAAGAGCGCGACTGGACAACTCCGTCGAATAGGGTACACTGACTGACGAGCATGCCTTGCTCGTTTCCCAACCCTGATACCACAGCCTGTGCCAAAGTGGCGCGCCGCAGCCCGCTGCTATATATCCTCACTCCAAGAGATGACCCGGTGCATCCAAACTGCGGGGCAACAAGCGCACTAAGACGCACCGATCCCGCCGACAGGCGCCTGCCGTGTCCCAGGCACGGTGGAGGGCGACTCCAGCTTGCGGGCATCCCCGTGCTGGGTAGTGCTGCAGCCCGTAGCCTTACCACGAGAGCGAGCTGGTCTGCACGCAGGAAGGCCCAGAGCAGTGGGGGGGTTATTGCAGCCGAGCCCCACAAGCGGAGCCCACGGATACCATGGGCGGACGCAGTGAAGGTGCACATCACTCCCAGGAGGACGCACGTGAACTGGCCCAGCTCCGTCATCTGTGGCCTGTCAATGAGCAGCCTGGAGACTTGCAGTCCTTTGAGTGCCACAAGCCGATGGGGCGCCACCACCGTACCCATAGCGCAAAGAAGGGGGGAGGAGGGCAGCCGATAGCCGCTAGCAGTGGGTAGGGATAATTTTGTGCGTATAGATATAATAAAACAAAAAAAGGCCCGAGCGAACCCGACACGAGGACCCAACAGGCGCCAGGTGCCACCCGGGGAAGGGCCGGAGAAGGGAAGCCACGCGGGCACGCCGTCGGACTTCAAGGGGTGCAGCGTGAGGGGGAGGTGGCCTTCAGCCAGTCACCCCAGACTCCACATGCCTGCAATCAGCGCGGCCAAAGATCCGTGGGCGGGGTTATTTCAGCCGACCGCACGGGCAGGGGGCCCACGGGGCGCCGCGGGTATCTACGCTCAGTGTGGGGGTGCCCCTCGAACCCATGAGGTGGCACAAGAGCTGTGGCCAAGGCCGGCCACTGCGGGCGGGGGGCGGAGGGGGCGGGGCCTTCAGCCGATCGCCCGAGCCCTCCATGGGCCAGCGTAGAACGCGGCCAAGAACCGTGGGTGGGGTTGTCTCAGCCGACCACACGGGCTAATAGCCCACGGAGTGACGTGGGGGTCTAACGCAGTGTGGGGGTGCACCTCACTCCCAGGAGGTAGCACGGGGACCAAGGCCGCGGCCTGCCACTGCGGTGAAACGATTGCCCATCGCCGGGGGGGCTGCCAGGAGCAAATGCAGCTCAGGGGGGCTCCATTGCCCCCGCGGCGCGCCCAAGTTGGCGGCTCCTGCCTGCGCGGGGCAGGACCTGTGACTGTCACCTGCCGCCGATCGGACACCAGGTCGTAGGGACGACGAGGGAGAGGAGGAGAGCAGCCGATAGCCGCTGGACATTTGAATACAGGGGGGTGCCCATGGGAACAGAGGGCCACACTTCCAGTGGCTCCAGGAGGGAGAGGAGGGGGGCAGCCGATAGCCGCTGGGCGAATAGAACTGGGGGGTAGCCGTATGCTGAGTGGTACACATCACTCCCAAGAGGTGACCAATGTGTATGGCTGCTGCCTGTCACTTATGAAGATAGCGCCCCTGTCCTAGGCGGCTCCAGGTCGCGTGACCTTGGGGGTCCCAGGCCACGCCACAAGGTCACGCCATCCCTGCTTGGAGCAGTGACCTCTTGTCAGGCCTGCGGCCAGCGTCACCAGCGGTCGAACTCCCTCCCTCGCTGCCGCTTGTCGGCGTATTGTACGTCGCCTCTCTGGGCGGTCCTTTTTCCCCTGGCACCCCAGTCTGCACCGCTCCATGAGCTTTCCTGGCGGCCCCACCCCTCCCAGGGCGGCCGCGGGTGCCATGGGGCGGTGGAGCTGGATGCCCCCGATCGCGCTGTGACCCTGTAGTCGGTATAAGCCGGCGGGGCGGCTGTGTCTGCCCTAGGCTTGCTCCACGGATGCCGCTGGTCACCTCCACTGGGCTCGCCTGAGGGGGATGCGCGCGTGGTGCCGCTGGCCCTGTCGGGTGGTGCCGGGGGAGTAGGCACCGCCCTGCTGTTGGCAGCCCATGGATACGGGCGGCCGTCGCTATCGCGTCCCTTGAGGTTACGCGTCCTTGTGTCGCGTTGTAGCAGGTTGCGATGCTTCTCCATGACTGCCGGCCAATCCACCCAGAGCTGGTGATCTCTTGCCAACTTGTAGGCATCCCCGAGCTGCCCAAGGCGCCCCCCGAGCGGTAGTACGCCATGCTGAGGCAGCCTGAGAAGGAGGCCAGACGACCAGAAAAGAAAAAAAGCCAGGGAGGCTTGAGCCAAAACGGCTACGGAAAGGAGTGAGGCAAGCATCCTACGAGCGAAGGAGTGTAGAGGAATCCCCGCGCACCCATGTGGGGTACCCCCTCTGGCGCCTACACACGTGAACGCACATGCCGGATGTACGCGTGCCAGGCACATGTTCGATACCTCCCCCCTCACGCACGTACTTGCACGCGTGACGAAAACAGCGCCCCCCATGCTGGATACCCCTCTTAGCGTCTGAGTGCCAGACGCATGTTCTAATCGCACCCCTTTCACGTATTTGTGCGTGTGAAGGAGTCTGGCGGCCCCATAATGGATACCCGATTTGGCGACTACATGTGTGAACATACGTGCCATGTGAAGACTCTGGCGACCCCACGTTGGATGATTTGCTACCCCCCTTGGCGCCTGATGCGCACACGTAGCTACACGTGCGAAGAATTACACGCCCCCATGTTGGGTGTCCCCTTGGCGCCTACACACTTGAAAAGTTTAACATGCATGCCAGACGTACGTGTCAGACTAATGCTCGATACCTCATCTGCGCGAACATATGTTTACTAAACTGCGCGCGCACTTCTGGCGCGCTTAAGTTCTAGCGACCTCCAAACCCTGGCAAGTTCGTAGCTGCATTCCTACATGTACCTACGAAAGGAACAGGATTAGCGGAAGCAACAAGAACACGGACCGAGCAGAGCCGTACTACCGAGCAGGGTAGACCGAACAGTTCGAAGCAGTGCCAGGCAATACATGAAACGAATTGAACTGACAGTGTAATTCTAAGAGTTGCCATAGACCATAGAAAACACATGCAACAACAACGCAAGGGATAACAACTCAATGCGAAGCATTGCCAGGAAAGGTAATGCAACTTAAATGCATGGCAGGTGCACGCAGCGCAAGTCAAATCACAACAAACAGGCAAACCGATGTGAAACACACGCCCGCCAATTCGTTCTGGGGGGATCCGAACTCCACCTTGCGACTCGTTGCGGTTGGGTCCCTCTGAAGGCACCTTGAAACACTCATCGGCCTCTCCAAAGCCTTCTTCGAGCCATCCTCCACAGACATTTCGGAAATCTCGGACATGGCAAGGACTCCACGCGTACCTTGCGTGTTTTCTCATTCGATGGGTCAATGCTGTTAGACCTCTCTTGTGGCCGTATTGAGGCCGTCTTGGAGGCATGCTGGAGCCTCTTCGGACCCTCTTCGTCCAGGTGAGCGTTTCCTTATTCGGAGTTTCGACATTGGGCGGAAGGGGGGTGGGGGGGTCTGGCTCCAGACCTCTGCTTAGGGCGACTGTTTGCAGCAGTGCGTCCATTATAGGGGGGACCCCACCTGCTCGAAACAGGCGCCAAAAAACAGCCAAGATCCACTCCAGGGGGGGGGCGGAGTTGGGGGCCCGCGCCGATCGGCAAAACCATGAATGAAAAAACGATCACCAGCTGGACTGTCACCTGGGCGGTATGGAGGTGCACGGTTTCCCCCGGGGCCGTAGGCGACCCGAGGAGGAGGAGGAGGAGGCGGAGGGGGAGGGGGAGAAGGAGATGGAGGAGATGGGGGAGGAGGAGAGGAGGGAGGAGGAGGAGGAGGAGGAAGGGAGGGGGGGAGAGGAGGTCGCCTAAACCCTTCGAAGAAACCCTCCACCCCATCACGCTGTGACGACGCTGGGCCCACTGCCAGAGTCCGCAGGTGCCCCTCGCCCAGGAGGCCCCAGGTTTTCGTCTTGACGAAATCATTTGAAGGCCATGGCCCAGAATTGGTTGCTCCTATTCGCTTCCTCTCGCTGCTCCCCCCCCAATCCTCCTCCCCGTCCGCATTCCTCTCGCTGCTCCCCCACTCCTCCTCCTCCTCCTCCTCCTCCTCCTCCTCCTCCTCCTCCTCCTCCTCCTCCTCCTCCTCCTCCTCCTCCTCCTACCACACCCCGCTCGTTTTCATCTCCGTCGTCTTCAGGGCCGGCGGCACTGGCCGCTAGGCCTTCGCAGAGCATGAGAGCAAGCAGAGATATGTTCAGTGGCAACTCGTGGGAGCCTCCCATAGCATCTGGTCGGCTCTTGCCAATCGACGCCAGTCGACGCTGAATCGACGCTGACCGACGCTGAATCGGCGCTGATCGACGCTAACCGACGCGAACTCGGCGCTATCTCATCGACTCCCAGACGCTAATCGACGCTACAGACGGAATGACGAGGGTATATGAAGCTCCCATGACTGGCTAGTGCGCGTCGGGGGGTGCGTTTCGCAACCCCGTGCATTTGCTCCTAGAAAATTCGGCCCCAGACCTGAGGCCCCGAACCCTCGAAGATGGCGGGGCGGCGCGCTCCCGAAGCCGCGGACCCCCGCACAGATTGCAGTGGACTGAAGGAGCCCTGGGACACACCAACAAAATATACACAAATAACAGGATACCCCATAGTTTCCCATATCTTCTGGGTTTTTGCCTTCCCCCCCACTTCCCATATTTTCCAATATTTCCTGGGGAATCGAGGATTCATTGTGTATGTGGTTTTCCCCCCCCTGACTCATTTGCTCCCGAAATGCGGCCCCAGACCCGAGGCGCCGAGCCCTCGAAGATGGCGGGGCGACGCGCTCCCGAGGACGCGGACCCCCGCACAGATTGCAGTGGATAAGTAAGTCGACCCCTGTCCCAGGCTTTGGGGGGTTTTCGCAGGGGCCAGGACTAGGGGAACAAAAAGTGGCATAAACATAAAAACTCGGAGGTCCGTGCGGATTTCTCGTGTCGGGGCTGGGGCCCCCTGGCGGCGCCTCCGGCGCCGCCCCTGGCGCGCTCCGCGCGCCAGGGAGGGGGGTCCAGCGCCGATCCGAGAAATCCGCGCGGACCTCCGAGTTTGTATGTTTATGTCACTTTTTGTTCACCTAAGGAATCTGGGGCCCAACCCTGTGATATATACGATGGGGGGGCGTCCATCCTCGACAGGGGTGCGCCTGGATAGCCCCCGTGGGGTGTACCCCAGGGTCTCCCCCTTCTGCTGAACGGCCAAGAACTGTTCGGGCTAAACTCGGGGATTGGGGGCGAAAAATCGCCTGCGAGCACAGCTTGCAGCGGACGCGCGCTCCCGAGGTCCACCGGCTCTCAGCGCTTTTGCTGCAGGTGCGCGCAAACAGCCAGCCTGCAAGCAGCCAAAATCGACTGCCAACGGGCTCTGGAAACAGAAGTACAGTCGGGGAGTTGACCTAAGGAACCCTAAATAAGGAACGAGGCCCCTTTTTTCCATAAGTTAAACTTCGATTCCCCATCGAAAACCTAAGGACAACCTAAGGCAAGCTGCGAAACAATTAAGGAACACGGAGCCCCTCCCCAACGAAAAGGGTTCCTTGTTCAGTGCCCCGACTGTAGACAAGCGCGTTCCACTACTCGCAGAGTGGCTGCTCGCAAATGGCCTGGATCCGCCGCGGAGGGTTTGCGATACATTACACGGAGGAGAGAATCCTTTTCCGGACGCTTGCGAGTAGGCACTTTGCGGTGTGTGGGGGACGAGGGGAAATTCGCTGGAACTCGCTGGTATCCACGAAGTGGTAGCGAATTAGCTAGCGAGGACCCCAGGCGGCGGCCCATAGAGGGCGGCCTCGCGCCTGACAATACCCAGCTCGGAGCTCTCTGGCCAGAGACGCCTTGGGCGGACCCTGGTGGCTGGGGAAAAGCCCCTTCTGAATTCTCTGGAGGTTCTCAAGACCCTTCTTGGTGGGAGGCCTGCCAGGAGCAAGACGACGACGACGCACGACGACAACGACGACGGCAGAGGACGACGGCAGAGGACGGACGACGGCTGCGAAGCTCAGGACGACGACGCCGCCGCCGAGGCGCCCAGCGCATCTCCAGAGCCGCGCGACACCGGCGTCGTGTGCAGCTTGCAGCTCGAATTCCCGACCTCGCGCAGCCGCGCGCACGCGCGCGAGACCGTCGGAAAGAACCACTCGGACACACTGGGTGATCGGATGCCCCTCGGAGATCCATGGGGGGCCTTTTCGGAGACGCTGGAGGCCCTTCAGAAGGGAGAGCGATAGATAGTAGAGGAACAACAAATGGCATCAACATAGAATGTTCGCGGTCCGCGCGGACTTCTTGGACCCCCTCCCTGGCGCGCGGCGCTGGAGGCGCCGCTGGGGGGGCCCAGCGTGGATCCAAGAAATCCGCGCGGGGCGCCAAAAGCGGATGCTTATGTTAGGTCGGGCACGTCCCCCTACAGCGGGATTGTGGACGAAACATGAAAAATAATCAACATATGCCCCCAAAAAGTATCAGGAAATCGTCCCAGGTGTATAGATGTGAGTGCGGTGTATTTTTGTTGCCTATTTCTGAAGATTCCCCCTGTACAGGGATAGTCGGGCGTTGGCAGAACTGGGTTTAGTGGGACCTGGTTTACAAATGTGTACTGGGGAACGCCCTCCCCGCCCGTTCCACTAATCGGAACTGCCGTCACCCGAAAAAACACCAGCTGCGGCAGACCTGGTTCAGTGATTCTGGCCAGTTTAAGGGCTCCAGGGCCCTACCACCAACCAGGTCCCTTTACCTGGGGTCCTGGCTGTAAACGAGATAGGCCCGACTTGATTCTCATGGCTCTCCTCCTTCCACCATCGGGGGCCTCTCGGAGGCGCCAGGCGGCCCTGCCGACAGGGAGAGCGACGGGAGCGGACCGGCTCAGGGAGGGGGATGCGCCTTGCGCTTTTGTTACCAGGGCCGCCATGGCAGCAGCAGGTGTTCAAAACTGGAGTGCCCCAGCCTGGCAAGCGCATCCATCCGCGCGCACGGAAGATGAACCAATCAAGCATGAAGACGTACTACCCGCTTTGCTCTCCTCTCATCGCTTCGGACTCGGCCGTACGGTCGCCGACGGATCGGCGACAGCACGAGGGCAACACATCCGCCCCCACAGCAGCCACCCCGACGAGCGAGGCTGTTCAGAGTGAAACGCACCCCGAGAAGGAAGGAATCGAACAGGGCGGGGCTGCAGACGCCCGAGGCCGTCCAGCAAACGCCCGCCATCGGATCCGGGTGGTCCTGCTTCCCTTGAGTGAGGAGGCCCTGGGACACACACACATACACATAGATGGACACAAATCACAGGGTTCCCCATATTGTCCCATGTGTTCTTGGTTCCTGTCTTCCCCCCACATCCTTTACTTCCCCATATTGTCTGGGGTGGAATCGACGATTGATTGTGTCTGCGTGTGTGTGCTTTTGTTCACTCCAGATGGAGGCAGGGCCCCGATGGCGGATCCGCAGGGGTGCCCAGGCGGGGGGCGGGCTCCGAGGCCCCCTCCCCCAACCGACCGGGCGATTGGGGGCCGACGCACCCCCCCTTTGGACCCGATTGGAGGCCTCCCAGATTTACATCGGGCGCGTCCCCCTACAGGGTGATCTTGGGCGAAACATAGCAAGTCCTCAAGCAAATGCTCCCCGAGTGGGCAAAAATGGTCCAAACATCGTCCCCAGACTATCTTTCAACTATTCTTGAATATTCCTCCTGTAGAGGGACGGGCCCGACTTAATCCTAGATTGGGTCAGAGTATATGGGGTCGAAGAATCGCGCCGCATCGCCGATGCATCGGCGATGCATCGCCGAAGCATCGGCGATGCACTGGCGATGCACCGGCAGCGTCGGCGATACACCCGAGACGTTGTCATGAAGGGGCCCCACATCAAGCTGCATTGCCGATGAATCGCCGAAGCGGCGCGGTCCTCCGACCCCATACGCTTGGACCCCATCTTCTAGGAGGCCTTGACCGTATCCCCCCCTAACTGACTACCTACCAGACCACCCCAACCCAACCCGAAGACCCGAATTTCGGGTTGGGGGGGTGCGGGCTTCATGTGTGCTTTTTTACATGTTCCCCCCCCCCCCAACTGGAAATGGAGTGCAAATTGAGGCCTTCGGGTTGGGTTTGGGTGGTTTGGTGGGTGGTGACTAACGTTGCCCCTAATCGAGTGTCAAAAATCGATCCCTGGACCACTCCTGGGGTGCGTTCTGCCTGGAGTTTCGCGGCGCATTCAGCCGTGGCCACGAGGGCGCCCCAGGACCCATCCTCGAACCTCGAGCCCTTGCGCATGTGCCCCTCACGATGCCCCTGGCTTCAACAGAATGCGAGGCCCTTCGAAGGTCTCCCAGGGCTCCCAACTTCGCGCTTCGCGCTGCGCGAAGCGCGAAGTGCGAATAGCTTCGCGCTCTCGCGCCGCCTCCCAGGGGAGAAGAGGAGGATGAGGAGTCGGAGCCGAACCGCGAAGCGAGAATAACTTCGCGCCCTCGAGGGCGCGCTCGGTCTCTGGGGTCACCGCGGAAGCCTCCGGAGCTCAGCGGGCCCCAGAAACGGCAGGGCCGCTCTTCGCTGCTGGAAAACGCTGGCCCCGACGCCCTGGGAGTAGGAGCAGACGCTGCAGGATGGGAGCCAGAGCCGAAGCCGGGAGCATGATCCTGGCGAAAGACCCAACCATGTGCAGGCGATGGTAACGCAAGGCAGGTAGCACGAAGGGAGAAGAACTCCCTTTGAGGCCAACAAAACGGGTAGGGGGTGTGCCAGAAGGGGGCGGTGCGCCGTGCGGGCGCCACCACTGGAGCCCTCGGCTGATCTCTGGGGGGCAGCAGAAACCCCGACCGCGGTGGCGCAAAAGCGGGCTGGGGGTCGCGTCGAGAGGTCCGGGGGCCGCCTGTCGGTGCTCGGTCCCTGGCAGGGCGTACGGCCCCTCCACGCCTCGTCTTCCGCTCTCCCCATCCAGTCGTCGGAGGACGGAGGGCAAGGCAGGAAAGCGGTGGGGAAGGGTGGAGAAGGGACGACGGAGGAGGAGGAGGAGGAGGAGGAGGAGGAGGAGGAGGCGCCATCGGAGCCAGAGGAGGAAAACGAGGGGTAGAGTAAAGGAGGACAATGGAGGAGGAACACCAGGAGGATTGCAGAGGGACGGGCCTTCGAGGCCTCCTCCCTCCCTCCCTCCCTCCCTCCCTCCCTCCTCGCCTACCGCCTCCTTCCCCCCTTCTCGTCTCCTTCCCTCCCGTGTAGTCTCCCTCCATCCTCCCCTCCCTGCCTCCTCCACTCTGCCTCCTCTTTCCAGCAGCAGAAATGCACCTGTCGACCTCCTCGCCTCCCTCCCTTTATTTTCCGCTCCGCTCCGTCTCGAGCGTTGTTTTTCACATGGAAATGCAAACGGGGGGGACGACAAAAGGTGCACATCTCGTGCACCTTCCGTGCACCTTCGGGGCACCATGGGAGCCACTCCTGGACCCCTTGAAACACCCTTCCTGCCACACTCGATCCCGCCCCCACCCCAATTCATCGGAGGAGGTGGAGGACGAGCGAGGAGGAGGAGGAGGAGGAGGAGGAGGAGGAGGAGGAGGAGGAGAGCGAGGAGGAGGAGGAGGGGGAGGACAACGAGGAGCTTTCCATTCCCCATTCATCACAAACGCCCGACTCCCCCGTGCCTCCCTCGGCGCTGGAGCCTCGAACGCGAAGCAGTCCGAGTCCAGGGTGCAGACGAACTCGCACGCCTCCTGCGGAGGGGGGGGAAGAGCAGATGAGGGGAGAAGCCGAGGAGAGGGGGGGGGGGGGATAAGGCAGGGCGAAGGGGGGAGGAAGAGGAGGAGAAGGAGGAGGAGGAGGAGGAGGAGGAGGAGGAGGAGGAGGAGGAGGAGGAGGAGGAGAGACGCGGGGCGCTGTCTCTTCAAAACGAGGGCCCAACACCACAGAAGCAGGAGAAGCAGAAAGAGGAGAACTGGGATGAGGATGGTGAGGATGAGGATGAGGATGATGATGCTGCCGATGTTGCTGCTGATGATGATGATGATGAGGATGATGATGATGATGCTGCTGCTGATGATGATGATGATGATGACGATGATGATGATGATGATGATGATGATGATGATGATGATGATGATGATGATGATGATGATGATGATGATGATGATGATGATGATGATGAGATGAGGAGGAGGAGGAGGAGGAGGAATAGCGGCAGTAGAAAGAGTAATGAGGAGAAGCAGGAGGATGAGGATGAATAGGAGGATGAGGATGAGGATGCGCAGGAGGAGGAGGACGAAGGAGAGAGGAGAGGAGGAGGAGAGGAGGAGGAGGAGGAGGAGGAGGAGAGAGGAGAGGAGAGGAGAGGGAGAGGAGGAGAGGAGAGGGGAAGGGGGGAAGGAGAGGAGGAGGAGGAGGAGAAGGAGGAAGGAGAGAAGGAGGAGGAGGGAAGAGGAGGGGAAAGAGAGGAGGAGGAGGCGGAGGAAAAGGAGGAAGAGGAGGAGGAGGAGGGGAGAGGAGGAGGAGGAGGAGAGAGGGAGGGGAGAAGGCAGAGCGGAGGGAGGGAGGAGGAGGAGGAGGAGGAGGAGGAGGAGGAGGAGAAAAAGTAGGATGAGAAGAAGGAGGAGAAGGAGGAGGCGATTGGGGATGGAGGAGGGGGAGGAGAACGAGGACGAGGAGGGCGAGTACGAGCAAGAGGAGCAGGAGGAGAGAGCAAGAGGAAAAAGGGGAGAAAGGAGGAGGAGACAAGGTGAGGTAAGATAAGAATGTGACGAAAGGCGTGCAAGCCGCCTCCCGCAGCTGCCAGGGAAGAAAACCAGGGGCCCTCATCCGAATCCTCCGACCAGCCTCCCCCCCCCGCGCGGGCCAAGCCTGCGCCCCCACCAGGAGGGAGCGCGCCTGGCCGCACCAGAAACCGAGAGACCCGGCATCCACGCCGAGGGTGAGGAGGAGGAGGGGGAGGGGGAGGAGGAGGAGGAGGAGGAGGAGGAGGAGGAGGAG